ATGGGTGATCTTGGTTTTAGAGAAGGTACAGCGAGGTACAGAAGGTACAGAAGGTACAGAAGGTACAGACTGTACAGAATGTACAGATTTAGGGAATTAGGATGGATTAGAGCTGAGGTGACGACAAGGAGAGTGGGGAAGAGGGGCCGCGGTGGATTATCAAAAACCAAAACCCCCAAAAAAGGGAGACGAAAAAACTCACGATGAAGTGATCCCAACCAGTGACGGAGCTTTCTAAAGAGAAAGCTTAAAAAGTGCCTGCTAAATTCAGGTACAAAGAGTCCGGGTGGCGATCCTTTACTTTGCTATCAAAATCGATTTTGCAATCTCGGATATGAAACCGAGAATGCTTCGTCTCCTGCTTGTTATGCGCCTTGCTTGGCTGCGAAAACGAAAATAGTCCCGTTGATGCTTCGCGGAGAAATCGAAGTCGGTCGTCGGAATGAAAATAGAGGGTACGCAATCTTCTATTTTGGTTCGTCGTTGTGTCGCTCTTCTAGAGGAGAGGTGTCGTAATTGAAAATACCCGTATTGTTATTAATCGGCCCTGTTTTTGGAGGGACTCGATGCTTCGCCAGGTTTTTGCGTGTTAAAGGTCGTAGGAAGAGGGTGCAGAGGATGCAGAGAAAAGGCGGGTTGTAATGAGGAAGAACTTAGGATTGAGGAGGAAAGAGTTGACAATTAGATGTCGTTCGTCGCGATGGATAAATTGTCGAGAAATGTGTCGTAATAATGGGTGCACGACCTGTTGTTTTTGTTGGTACAATGCACAAAGCGCGCAATTCTAGGCTTTCTAATTGCCAACCGGAGGCGATTGTCAAAAAAGTATAGGTACGGTGATGCGGTAATGGAGACAGCCCGAACCAACAGGTGTCTTCCCAGGCGTTGGCGGTGGGAGCGATGCGAGCGGTGCGAGTTTCAAAACAACGCGGAAAACCGGATCGTCTTTTTTTTATCGTGATTGTAAAATGAGTAGTATGGGAATATGAATGAGAACGAATGTAGAATTGTTCTCTCTCGCAGGTTACCGTAGATGTAATTAATGCAGACCGCAAAAATACAAATGGCAACAGAATTCGTCGTTGGGGGAAAAATAAAATGTAACGGAATGCGTCGCCGTTGTCGCGGGGTGGTCGTGGACGAGAAAAAATGGAAGAGAGGGAAGGAGATGAAAAAGGGTCAAAGCCGATGGAAACGTCAGGTCAGAAGAACAATCCAATCCGGCTCAATCCAATCCGCCAGAAGCAGACTCTACAGTTGTTAGAGTCCTAAGTTGCTTAAAGTGGAGTACCTTTAGCTGCCCTGGAGCATTGAAAAAAAAGTCCTGGGGCGTGTATTGGAGGTTGCTTTGGTGTTAATCAGGCTTTTGCAAGCACTGTGGTTCGTTTTTCTATACCTGAAATGCTTAAACGTTTAGGGAATTTAGGGAAGTAAACGCCTAAACGATCGTGTACGTAGTTGGGAAGGAACAAACCGGGCAGTCAGTGGCAGACTAAGGAGGGCTCGAGCACTGTGTCGATACTTGCGGTCGTATCCTTCTCAGGTTCAAGGGGAGAAAGAATGCCAGGCAACTAAGCACAGACCAGGTGGGGTTTCAGATGTGATATTCTGATTGGCAGACTTGAGGCAGTGCAAGCTAAAAGCGCTAGGGACAATCGAGAAATCCGTACCCAATGGTACTTGGGTATCTATCTCAAATAGCAATTACCAACGCGCTGAAAAGCAAGGAAGGCGCAATCTGAAAGGTACGGGTATCCAACCAGGTCCGATGTTGGGTATTGAGTGCCTGCCCTCCCAGCTTGTACCTAGCACTATCTCTATCGCTGTCTGGGAAGGTACCAATTCGTTAGCACCTCTAGGCTGGGGCTATAGTCGGGTACCTTAATAATGGATCGTAAACTGCAGCGCATTCAATCCATTCAATCCACTATCAAACTTTTTGGATCTACAACTCTTGTCAACTACTTGGTTGGCATTTATTAATCAAATTCAACAATTCCCAGATTTTATATATTGCCCTAATCTCCCTTCCTTCTATTCAGTCTCTTGTCACTGCAACTTCGAGCGATCTCTTTCAATATACTTGGTCACGATACCCTAAGCTCCCCACGAGCCGACTTCTATTCCAACCCTACCTTACAGATGATGATGCTGTATGGCAATGCCTAAACCTTTCGTCTCATTACTCTGGTCTCACTCTCCTTCGTTTAACTGGTTCATTTCATATTCACTCCATGCTCATACAGATCGCCTATTTCACGAATCTAGATGACAAGAAGATTGGCCGGTGTCACTTAAAAATGAGGATCTCTAGGAACACCCCAGACACGCGCCGCCCCGTCTCCCACTTAACTCATCTTTTATATGTATTCTTACAAACAGCTAGCTTTATGTCGCTCAAAGTTTCAGACGCTTATCTGGCGGTTATTTCATAGAGCCACGCATTTATTAAGTTTTTAACTAGCCCACCGGGAGTTCAACATGGTGTTCGGAAAAGGGGGCTTGTCACCTCCCGCAAACGAGAATATGTACCGCTTTGTCTCCCACTCCAGAAGTCTTCGGTATACCAGTATACCCACGATTTTATCGATCCACTCCACTGGTGTCTCCTTTAACCTTTATCATTCTTGTCGGTTTTTTGTCAATAGAGGCCACGAATCGAAGCATCACGGCTTCTATGATATGTACGCAACGTTACTGTATAGCTGGCGGAGGTATGATTTTCCCCCAGATTTGTCGGTTTGGCTAAACTTCAAACTGCCAAGGACAGCAGCCGTACGGCACTTTGATGATGCTAGTTGATTTCTACGTAAAAGACTTTTTTTTCTCCTTCCCAAGCCGGCCGCAGCATCGATTACAACCGCCACGCTGCAGTCTCAAATTTTTAGGAGGTATAAACAGCATTCGGTCAATTCGTGCATATATTCAGGGGTCAATGACGTGGGTGCGTGGATACCCGTATTAGAAGGTGGGCAAAAGACGTCCGATTCCAATAGCAAACGTCGAAGTAAGTAATTCGTAGGTTCTAACAATGCCCCAATTGATTTCCTTGCTAACATTGGCGAGGCCGATTTCCAGACACAACGTCTATGTTTCGGGTCGGCGATTTGAACCACTTTGTGGAAGCGTGGCGGGTCAACATTTTGGGTCGTACCGATCATTCGGCTCTACGTTTCTCATCTGTTAGAGATAAGGGGTTGTAAAATCAACCCCTTAACGAAGCCAGAACTATTTCCAATTCGTCCTCTCAGCCGCCGTGGCTAGCTAGTATTCCACACCGGTTGCTTCATCAGGAACCGAAACCACCATTAGGACGAGTTGCAAACTACAGCATTATATACAATGCCATTGTCAAATTGTGGCTGATTTACAAGCGAGTCGCTTGTGCAACAGCCCATAGCCGGAACTAGTTACCTTCTAGTTTGCTACTATCTGTAAGCAATGGTGAGTAAAATATTGTAGCTAAATTTCACGATGATTGACGGCACAACTCCTTGTATTTTACTGTCACTGCCCTAGGACCCCTAAGAAGCCTTCTCACGATCGAGTCACATGACTAAGATCCAGACGCGCGATATCGTCAGCCTCAAGCATGTTACGGTTGCAAGTTCGTCATGATATTACTGATTGGTCGTAACCTTGCGGTTCCTGACAAGTATGATTACTCAGCCATCATTCAGATTTCTTGAACCCGAGAAATACCACCGTGACGTCAGCTTTTTGATGAAGCAACCTCTTAAGATCGAACCTCTACGAGAGGAGCTTCCAGAAAGATATTGCGAAAAAAGACATGTGCTCATCGATGACATACTTTCTCACGAAGCAACCCGAGCCGTAATTCTCGCAAGTCGGCGCAGCCGAGGTAATGAGGAACCGGCAGACCGGGTAACGTCGAACTCGACTCAATCGACCCCATTTCCCCGGTTTGGAGCGTGCCATCATCGCGACGACGTGAATTTTATTAGTCAATCGCCGAGAAGGGTTTCGATGCCACTTTCCCACCAGCCGAAATGCAGTCAGAAGAACAACATACATCTACGACCTACCTACCCAGTGCTACTGGATGACACGTTGTAGGTTCCCTACCATCTGGGGATTTAATATACCCGCAGAAGCGAATCAATTTCGGCTATCGATAATTCATCATCTTCCGTCTTGTCATGCCTAGCACAACCGCCGCGTCAAGATAGAGGATATCACCAATGAGACGAAACTTCGCTTAAACTCCGTAGGTCATTCATTCTCTACCTAATGTACCTAGGTATATTTTTCTTATCCTCTATCCTCGAGGGATAATAGACGCATATTATCCGTCAGCGGTCCTTTATGATATCCAAAGCCGAATGTCCGATTTTTCTTTTTTAGAGTCGCCTAATGAGATGTGCGTCGGTATACCGCCTCCGGTTCCACTCACCGACATATTGGAGGCTTGGTAGTAAGGTCGCCAAAGCATGTCTCGGCGGCGATCCTCATAGCTACCAAGGAGTAGCCTTTCTACTTCCATATGACCACCTTGAGTGGTCCGGGGTATCTTGTCGGGTGAAGACTAAACTTACTCCAGCTAGAGCTGAAATGCGGGAGACTGAGCAACCAAACCCCGATATACCTCCGCTCGGGAGATCCGGACATGCCGGCACAGATTCCGAGCATTCAATGGTGGCTTTCCACAAATACGTCATTATCATTATGGGTTCAAAAATACACGCGCTCCTACAATCACAGCATCTTGATGTTAAGAGATGAGTTTTGTCGTTGTACTTCTTAACTATCTGTTTAATGAAGAAGCACACACCTATGTAGTCTAGAGGAAAGGCAGTCAGATATTTCAATTCAATTTTTAAATACGTGTCTAATATACACTCGCGTTCTCTAAACGCATGGTTTCTTACCTACGTATAAATAAAATTTCATCTAACTAACAAAACCACAACAGTTTCATCATCAAACTTCACATAGCCAACTTTCAACATGTGTTCCACACAGTACCTAAGTCAAAAAAATAGTCACGCCGTGGATCGAACACGGAACCTTCTCGGTACTTACAGAAGAACACTTCACTGTAAACGAGACGTCATAGCCTTTAGACCACGTGACTGCTATTGCGATGCTCATGATGTATCTTATTGGATGTGGAAGGTTTCTTGTGGTCTATAACTTAGGGGGAAGACACCTAAGTTTGCTTCAATCAAGATATCCGCACTGGCATTTTGGAGAAGGAACCACCTCTGTTTTCTCAAAGCAAAGCCCCTATTGGCCTAGATGTTGAAGTAAGAGCACTTGCCTTGCTCGTACTGCCTTCCTATACACCTAGGTACCTACTAGTTATCTCTGGATTTTAAATTACATAGAGTGCTTCTTAGAAGGCCTAAATGTGTTAAGCGTATGAGTGTATGTATCGTGATCTAAACGCCTGCTTGGGCTGTTAAGATCTAGCATTCGTTCGGCGTGAATCGAAAACATGTTTTCGCGAGCTCTCTGATAGTTTGCTAGGAATGGCAAGCTAGATGACTCTCTATATAGTAGCTGGCGAGGTCGCGGCCATCTCTGTATAGGAATTACTCGCACTTACGCAGAGCATACATTCATTTGCAAAGCTTCGTTTAATCAAATCACTCCGATATCAAGCTGAAGGTAATTCACCTAACACGAAGAAGCCTGTAGTTGAGGAAAGAGGTTCATGAACCGAGTCTCTTAGAAGGGCTGCCCCCATAACACACCTAGAGAGCCACTATAGTAAACTAAGCGACGATTCCCGAAGAACCTCAAATAAAATAATCCATACGCACGCATACATACACACTATGATAGCCCGTCCATTTCACTCGCACCTTTAGCACCTAATTAAAAAAAAAGCCTTTCAATTAACAAGGCCCGAATGTCTGTGGTAGCAGGTTATGCCGACTCCTAGAACTCCGAAGTATATACCCGCCCGACTCCCGAAAATCCATCCCGTTAATTGTGCAGCATGAAAACGGTACCTGATGGAAAAGAATTTGACAAAAGAACCTAGCCTGAGCCGGTCTTGATACAGTATATGGGGGAATCAAAGAAAAATCAAACAATGCGAATTAAAGTAAAGGGGTATGAATGCACGACCGAAGGCCCTCCACATTACCGTCTCCTAGCTGGCGCCTTACGCTTCCTGGCCTTGGTCGTGCTCTTCTTAATAGGACTAACGATTCCGGCAGGGGCAGGTTCTACCGTCTCAGTGGTATTTGCTGGAGATGCCGTGATACTATCTTCGTTTATCTCCACACCGAGACCCTTTAGTTCGTCCTCGTCAATTTCAGAGAGTTCCTCACTAAGGCTGCGAACGGCATCTCTGCCTTGCCACTGCTCTTGAATAGCTGAGGTCCCTTCAGGTTCAAAGTCTCGCAAATACCAGACAACGCCGCCATCGACTAGCGGATCTGGCGGCTGGTGTCCTAAGCTCCCATTTGACTGAGGGGGTGTAGGAGGCGCAGGCTGTAATAAAGGTGTCGCACCTACATAACCATTGATCGCTGGTGGAGTGTCCATCGCTTGCATTCCATCAACCGATGATGCCTCTGGTTTGCTTTCGATGGCTGGTGCTTCTCGGAAAGACAAGGTTCTTGTGGTTGGCTCAACACCGTCCATCTCGTCCCCATCCAAACCAGATGTGTTGACTTCGATATTACCGCTGCCAACAGCAACGCCGGTTCCAGCCATAGGGACGTCCTCCGAGGGTTGTTCCATGACAGCGGAACCATCCACCTCACCGCCAACAGTGATCTCTGGGGCCGATGAATCAACCATTATTACATCCCGGCTACGCTCAGATTCTCCGTTGCCCTGGTTAGGTGCTTGCTGTCGTAACTCTAGACTAGCTTCTATCATAGACTCCAGCTCATGCCTCATCGTATTGAACGGTCTGTGGACCGCCTCTGACTCGAGACGAAGCGCCGTCTCTAGCTGCGGTTGAATCGACTTAAGAATTCGTTTACCCAGCTTCTTCCGATCTCTGTAATCAGAAAAGTCAGACTTGGAAACAGCCGGAGCGACGAGACCAGCTTTCTGCTGTGATTCGGACTGCGACTTGGGCTCGGTATTGACCCCGATATTAATTACCTCGCAGAGGTCATGAGCGAAAGCTAGTGTTGTGGTGTAAAACCGTTCGTCGATTCTGTTGGAAAGCTTCAGTAAACCTTCGTGGAAAAGGTTCTTATCCAGCCTAATGAGATAGTTAGAATCACTAGAAATGTTACTAATTGCCTATCGACTCACGTAATAGCTTTTTCCACTATGGGGGGAAGCATCTTATGTATAGGGAAGTAACAAGTGTCGACGAATTCTTGTTCCATCTCAGCAGCCTCAAGTTTGTTCTGCTCTCTCTTGACGATGAACTCCGATAGGATCTTCAGTTGCTCTAGATCCTCGAGGAGGGTCTGGGCGAATTCAATTCGCCTTGACAACCGAGCCTTTCCGGAGGGGCCCATAGCTGCAAAGTTACGACGAGTGAGCTCCATGGAAGAAAATGATTCCATTTGCAGTTGTAAGCGTTTGAGTAGCGCGGCACCGCGGCGCATTTCGCGTTTCAATGTCCAATAACGACAAGCGTCGCTCACAAATTCCTTACGTTTGAGGAAAGCGAAACGCTGTAGCGAGGCCTCGACGTTTTCGAAAACGGCTTGCGGTATAACAGGTGCTCCGGATGGTAATTTCCATATTGCTTTTCCAGCCTGCCCTTTCTTGTCTCCAAGGACAGCAGACAACTTAGCCCCTGTCATTTGAGATTCGTCGGGTGGATGTTCAGTTATCGCATTCCGGTGTGACGCTGCAAGAGTCATGGCTTTAGCTTGACTATTGGCCCAAATCCGGTCCTTCATTGTCTTCTTGTAGAATTTCTTGGCTCTCTTAGTAGCCCGAACTACATCATTCTCCTTGGCGTACTCAGAAGGGCAATGCTTATCGCAGAGCGCCTTTAAATTCGTGCTGCCATCAAGAACGTCCAACGCTCCCGAACTGTTCTTCATCTTCAAGAAGAGGCGGGCTCTTCTGGCACATGTCACATGGAATGCTTGATAGCATGCTTTGTTACCGCATTGTATGCAAGCACCCATCTGTTGATTGCAGATGTAACAGGTCAACTTCCAGCGGCTCTTGGGGACCTTATCCACGTCCATTACTGGCTCCATGAAAGTATGATTGCCCAGTGTCACCTCCGGAATCCACATGGCGCAGAGTAAATGTGCCCATTTTGAAGAATTTGTCTGTTTAAAAGCACCGTCGGAGTTGGGGCAGAAAATGCACGTCTGAATGTTTGAGTTAGCACGGGGATCTTAAGTAGAGCGGGACTAAGGGAACTGACCGGGATACCACGGCCAATAAGCTGGCACTTCCGACAGAGCCACTGTCCTTCCGGAATAAATGGCACACCATAGCATTCCTGGTGGACCGCGAGATCGCACCCGTCACAAAAAACAATTGCGTTTGTGTTCTCGCAATCTCCATCGTCGCATATCGCACACTTGCTATCCTGTTCTTCGCCCGCCTGCGGTTCGCCGTTAACAGCGGCAGCTGAGCTAGAACGCGGCCTGTGAGTCTGCGGCGGTTTCGGGTTAGGTTTAGGAATTCTTTTTTCTAGCGCGTGCCACTCCTTCTCGATCTTGGTGATGGTGATCTCAAAAACCTCACGAGTTACGGGGTTCCAACCATGCGATTTTCTGTGTGCATTATATGCCTCGAGCCACATATCGTCTTGCTCATCCATGTCATATTCGACGCGGCCTAGATTACTACTTGGCAGAGGCGTTGGATCTCCGTCAGCTTTAACAATAGCAGCCTGGTCGGCCTCGTCTTCGATGTTTGCATCGCTAGCTTTAATCAATTTTCTATCCGGTCGAATGAAATTATCGCTCTCTTGATATCCGACATTCATCATGGCCTTATCAACATATCGAGCTTGGCCAAACGTTTTACTCTCAAACAGCAATATGCGGTCTGTTTTCCGATACGAAGGTTGCTTCAAATCAAGCTTCTCTTTGTTGTTCTGGCCGTGGATTGGGAGGGGAGTGGGTGTGTTTGGCGGAGCTTGCTGATCACTGCGAGTAGCATAAAGGGATTCTCCTCGTGGTAATCGGCCACCACGTCGTCGCGGTGTTGTGGCGGGGGCGCTTGGAGTCATGGTAGTGTTCACCATGGCATTAGGTGCATTCGGGAGAGATGTAGCTGGAGCAGCAGGGTCCTTCGAGGGACTACCAATGTCGTTATTATCCACCCCAGTCATCTTAGCAGATGGCGTCTCCGGCACTTGCTTCGCTGTCCCATCGACATCTTCGGCATGGAACATCATGAATGTGCCGTCTATGTCGAGGTTCGGGTGAAATTCCTCCCAGCCTCGTTCCTCTCTTGGCTTGTACCCTTCGCTTTGTACAACGGCAGCAACTGCGGCTGCAGAACTAATCTGCATCTCATCGTCTGGCTGGATTCGGGTGGTGTGCCGTGTTCGGGTGCTACGTTCGCGTCTAGGATATATGGCGGGGGAAGCCGCACCGTTTTGCGAACTGTGTCGCACTCTCGAGCGGCTGGTCGTCGCGACAGCTAGGTCGCTACTATCGATGCCCGACTGGTCAGCAAATCGACTAGCACTTCCGAGACCATTAGTCGTGTAGCGTCGTCGCTTGGGAGGGGGTTCGGTGACGGCTACGATACTGCCGTCTCGGACGCGTCGCACAGTGTTAACGGAGCCTTTGGGTCGACCGCGCGGGCGTGAAATGGCAGATTGCCTGGGTGTCCGTGGACTTGGTGCCATCGTTTCTCGGGTATTCTAATGATTTATAAGGTGAATAATATGATGATAAGGCGACCCTAATCAGCGCGTCGCAGGAAGGAGGCGAGGGGGGTTATCAAATGGGTGCAGTCGGCAAACAGGCATTTGAGAAATATCATTCGAATTTGGTAAATAGTTCTCACTAACACTAGGAAGACGGTGGCGCCCTTTGCCTAACGGGAAAAGTCTTTTCGTATCGCGAAAGTTGAGGAGAAGTGGTTAAGAAAGATCGAAAAGTAGTCAGGACGCGCTGTTGAAGTCGGCTGGAGAAGTCGGCCCTAGCCCCTAAGAGGAAAAGTTTAACG